TATAAATACAGATATATTAGCTAGGCGGGCGCCTTTGTATTTTCTTACTTGTTTTCCTGGGTCAACCATTCCAGTACCGTGTTTTGAGAGTGACTCAAATGGGTGCAGCCGCCGTGTCATTGTTTATAGAACATGTCGTGACTTCCCCTTGTTGGTTGTAAGGGGAATCTGTCACTGGGCATATTTTCTCATTATTCCAGGCGGCGAGACAGCAAATGGAAGTGATTCAAGGGTATCCTCCAAATGAGCTATTGAGTGTGATCACAATGGCCAGCACGCACGCTCTTTCAAACAAAAGGAAAGTCGTCTCCCTACCCCTGTGAGCTTGCATGATTGAAGGGGAAAATAACGAGGTTGTCCTTGTTCTATCTTTTTCACACTATCACGGTCCTTCCCCAAATGGCGCCGCAACCTTTTTAGCATCATTTGTCCCTTCAATCTCGAGATGCGGCCCGCGACAAATGTGGTTTCCCGCCCTTTGGGTTTCCTTTTCATCTTCCCTTGAAAGGCTGGCCAAGCTGTTGTCCAGATCTTGAGAGACACTGACCTCCTTATGACAAGCTGGAATCGGGCGTGCGAGACCAGAATGCACGTGGGTCAAAGTGAGGAAGGAGTCTTTTTGTTGGGGCAAGGGCATTTTGAGGTTACCAGATAGGTATGGTGACCCTTCCATAAGCCTCAGAGTACGTTTGGAGGGAGTGCCTCAGAAGAGGACGAGCTCGTAGAGGGGTATTTGTTGCTTTAGCTAGCCGTTTTCGACGCAGCTACGCCAGTGCCATTTGAGCAACTGCCAAACAACATGGGTGCATTTTTTTTTAGAGGGCACCCATTGACCGTGGTTCCAAAAGAGCAGCCACCTTTTTAGGGTTTCAGGCCACACACCATATCATGTGCGAGTCTTATTATCAAAGAGCCCGGGGAAAATGTGTAGCTGACAAGTAGGACATGTGTCAGCTTTCTGTCGGAGCACCTGCAGGCTGTCAAAGGACAGGTCGGTGCGTTTCCTTGCTTGGCACCGTGGATGCCCGAAATGTTGCAAGTAAACCAACTGTACTCAACCACTAATAATATACGGTAAATTGCGGCAAACTTGAGGGTTTCCTTGCTTTCATTTATGGCATCAACCGTAGGTATACAGAACGATTAATTGGATCCGCCGACCTGGGCCAATCCCCACCCGGAAGCGACTTTCATGAACGACGCGCTGTGCTTGCTGCATCCCAAGATATTGGAGGGCGAAGCGAGTAGCATAGGGCGGTTTGGCTGTTTGCGCACGGGAGCCCTAAAGCTGTGTTGTCGTTTCGTGGTTCACAGTCAGTTGGAAAGGGGTCCTTCGTTTTGCTTTTTGGAAAGTCACTGACACATTGCAGTGACTCGCAGCCATTTCAGTCTCTTCCAACTTGCATGCATTGTTTTAGTCCCCAGCACCCCCCCCTTTTCCCGGTTGCTACAACTTGTGCCTTGTTTTTTCTTGGGCCCAAGTTCCCCTTTTAGGTTAGTTTGGTTAACAACAAAATAGATTGGTTTGGTTGAACATAGATGGGTTCCACTGGTTTAGATGGGGTTTATTCCATTTACCAGGGCCATCTATGTTTCCAAAAGGCCACCTATGGACACTTCAATTCTCCATTTGACATGTGTGCACTTTTTGACGACCTCCCAAAATGGTAGGGTGGTTTCTTTTGGCGTTTGTTTAAAATAAACCACAACAAGTACCCAACAAAACAGACACATCCAATTCGATTCCCAGGCGCGATGCTTTCTGTCCGCCAGCCAGGCAAGGACGTTGGCACGTTGGGGCTTCGGACTCTGAGCAGAGTCCAAGTGGTTTTCGGTGCTGGAGGCTTGCATTGCTAGGTTTGAAAGGTTTGCTCTGAACCTCACAACAACACAAAGAAAATAATCAACCTGCACAGTTTCGCGACGCCAGAGGGGAAGTGCCCTAGAAGCCCCAACCAATCTTCAGGTGAAAGGCAAATTTACTTTTGTACACTTACCTCCTTTGCACTTCCGTGAGTGTTGGATAAATGGTGTAGTCCCTACCGCACCTACAAGTGGCTTGGGTGTTTTTGTTTCTGGTGTGAATTTGCAAGACTACAGAAACGCAAGGGAAGCAAACAGAACACGGAACAAGCAAGGTTGGGCGCAATGCATCGAAACAAACGACCCCGAGCCTTCTGTTAAATGTTAACACTAAGCGCTTAAGCTATGCTTCACAGGGTTGTGTTGCGCCCCGGAAATCAAACCGCAAACATGGAAGGATCGGTCTATGAATACAAAGGGATGACGAAACGATAAAGCCAAAGACACGTCCTGGACTTAGGCTTGTGTTTGATCTTGAATCGCCCAACCCTTGAAATACACACCACCCTTGGACGTTAAGGTCATCCTCGTGTTGGTTTTCAAGGGACGCCAAAAGGAAACCAATTTCCCTAGGTCTCCCAGTAGTGCCCTTTTTCACCCCTTTTTTGGTTGAGAGGGTTCCCCTACTAAAATAGACTACCGAAAAAGAAAGAAAATCAGGTAGCCTTATTCAACCTCTCTACTGGAGGACCTAGGCCATGTTCCCGAATGTATGATAAGTTCATTTGCCCAAATGAGGTGACGGTGCAGACCAGTGGCTCCTTGTCTTAGGCGGTCCCCAAAGGGAAACCAAGCATTTGCCCCATTTGCTGACCTTTTACCGTCCAGGCCCAAGCTCCAAGGGGAATCTTCTCCCCGCTCCGGCGCTTCGCTTCGCAGAAGGCGCGGCAACGGCTGCGGGTCGGGTGAAAACGGCGTCTGGAAGCCGACGTCGTAAGGACGTCGCAAAGAAACACGGCGACACGTTCTTGTCATGTGGATCAGGTTGTTCAGCTTATGTGTGTTGGTGCTGGAGATTGTTGGCGGGCTGCAAAGAATGTGAGCTTTTGGCTAACATAGCAGGGGATGGACATCGCGTGAAACCAACATATTCACTAACTGCTGGATCGGTGGGGTTTAGATTAGATCTTTTACATGTAGAACATGGCAAGCTGCCAGCTTAGATGTTTATCTCGCTTCAGACAAGTATGCACCAGTCACCCCGGATACCAAGATGAGTTTGACATCCAGATTGTCCTTGGACACCTACCTTGTTGGACAACACATGGCGACTCCCCAGATTGGCGGTTTGCCACCATGCATTTGTCTGTTGCATGGTCGTTCCTAAACCCCACATACTGTTTTTGTCCGAGGGGCCAGATGGGTGGGAAGCGCGAAGAGGGGTTCCTTTACTTCTCTTGGGGTTCTCCCTTAGGACTCTCCCGGGTTTGTGTTGGGACCTTGTTTGACATCATTAGGCGTTGTATGGTTGAAGCAATATATAATTGCATGCTGTTTAGTGACTGGAACCTCCAACAAATAGACCCAAGCACAGTCAAAGGATCTTGTGATCAACTTGTTTCTGGACCCACAACGACGACTTTGGGGTGTTCCGGCTTTTTTGAGGTGGACTCTATTAGAGATATGCTAATGTTCTCCTTTTCCCCTTTTTCCCTTTTCTTGAAGGGCCTACCTCTGTATACGATTGTTCCCCCGCCGGTGGATTTTGTGGTGGGTAACAAAACGAACAGGAACGCCAAGATGCAGGCCACTCAGTAAGTCACGAATAAACCTGCCTGCTTCATCACACCTTGCCTGAAGAAGCCTGACCCCAGCATGACCCACTTCGCAGAGGATAAGTGGTATGCCATGGGCGATGGATGCACTCGTCACTTTACTTAATCTGGGTTGTTCAAACTCCGTTTGTATTGCTTGTGCCAGATGATATTGGTTTGCCTCGTGGTATTGGTGTTCTACTTCGGATTAGGGATCAACATGAGTAGTTTGAATAGGGGTGCTAGCGAACCAGCCTGTACGCGAACTATTTTCAGTGCTCCTTGTGCACATGGCAGTTGCCTGGAATCAAACCCTATGATTTCGCAAAACAAATGTCCAGTTTCACATCGGTAAGGGCTCTTCTCGAGCCATCGTGAACTATATATATATATATATTATAGGGGATTCCAAAATGATAAGTGATCATATGATGCTCACTTATTTGTTTTGGAATCCCCTATTTCAAGACATGCCCATTTGACACTAGATCCCACTGGTGACTCAAGGTGGCTGTGATCCAAGACCAGCAGATCCCCAAAGATGAGGCTGGGCGCTGTGAAACGGTTGAGGTCAGCTGTCCAAAGACAATGGATCCGGGTGAATTGGGTATGGGTCAAAACTTAACCACCAGGAATCCGCAGGTTTTAGTCTTTGGTTTCATTTACCAGGATTCCCTAAACGGGCACCTAGTTTTGACCCGCAGCCAAATATTGGCGAAGGCTGCACAAGTTTCCGGATTCAACCCCTTATGGCGCCACAGCCTTTTGTGTGCCTAGCTGGACGACTTGAAGGTAGAAGGTCCACTGAAGGCTCAAGATTGGGTTTTGGGGTCTCCTGAGTAAGCATATGCTGGATGAAGTTCTCCCTCAAAGATTCATAGGCAGGACTCGCTTCAGGCTCAACTATGGGCATTTCACACGGCATTGCGACGCCGTGAGGCATTCTGGACTTGTCCCGGTTGGCGAGAGCACAGCGTTGCTTGTGGTCACGCAACCGCCACAAGCAGCTCTTGCCTGACTCGTGTGTGTGGTCATCGCTTTTGTTGTTTTGCTCATAATCTGACTTTGCAAGTCAGTGAAGGCTCCCATGCCACCCTGTGGTCCGTTCCCGGGCTCTCGGCAAGTACAGATTCGACTTGTTTTTTGGGGTTTGTTGAGTTGAGCAGCGCACCGAATTGGTTGAGAAAAGCATAAAGACGGACCCAATGCATGAGCACAGACAATTGGGTTGGGGAGTCGGGGAGGACCTGGGAAACCAAGGCCCACAAACAAACAGGGCACTATGTCCTCTCAAAGAACAAACAATCTGGCCGAGTGACGCATTTTATGGTTGGGAGAAGCACTGCAACACTCCAAGCTGGATTCCACAGCTTTCAGCTCGGAATGATGAGGTGGCATCTATGCCAAATGACCAGTTCGGTCTGTCGGCCTGGGTAAGGCCACATGTGTCCACGTGTCACTCTTTGCGCCTCAGCAGGTTTCAGAGAAAAATCCGGATGAATCTGACGCACGATTTTTGTAGGGCTTCGTTTGGGTACTCTTTCAGCAGGAAACATATCTTCCAAAGGGGGGTCTGTGTACTTGAATGTGCTTGGCAGCAGGGTAATTATCTGTTTTCAATCAAGAAAGCGAGCAGATTGGTAGTGGAAACTCTATCACTGCAACAAAAAGGGGCCTCCAAAGGAGATTCAGCTAAAGAACATGGTTTTGGGGTCTCATCTCATTCTGCAGGAACAGTTTTGGCCTGGTTTAGGGTCTAAGCGCCGATCCATCAGGACCCACCATCCAGAAACGGTTTTCACTGCGTTTCTGCCTTAGTTGACCAGGCGCTTTTCAGGTTCCACGTGCTGTGAGGTTGATTCCTAGGACAGCAGGTACCTGGCAGCAAAAAGAAAAAAAACAAAAACCAAAAAATGTCACCCCCCACCCCCCAGTAACAACCTTTCTGGGAGGCGGCATAGACCAAGTTCTTCTTCAAATATGAAGGAAGCTTAGGCGGCTTCAAGGCATGAACATAGGAAACTATCGCAGAAAGCCGTTGACTTGGCACCATCAGCTACGACCAAGAAGTAGACAATCAATAATATGTGTTTCTTTGAGTGTGTGTCTGTGTGTCTCTGTCTCTCTGCCTCTCTCTCTCTCTCTCTCTCTCTCTTTCTTTCTCTCTGTCTCTTTCTCTCTCTTTCTCTCTTTCTCTCTTTCTCTTTCTGTTTTTCTCTCTTTTTCTCTCTTGGCTGGTTTAAAGGGACACTCGCATAAAAGCCATAAAAAAGCGAACTTTCGGATTTGCGTGGCGCCCCTCTTCCGGCTCCAGGCGGTCTCTGCGCTCAGCGGCAAGGGCTTCGACGTCGCTTGGTCGCGTGGACTCCCGGGACGCTTGGACGCTTGGACTCGATGGTTGCTAGACCCCGAGAACATACTCCCTAGCCAAGGGGTAGCTATGGGTGTGGCTCAAATAAACGGCGGGCCCCGGTGACGCAGGTTTTTGGTCTGCCTTTCCATTTATTAGGTTGTTTTTTTTGGAGCCCTATTTTTGAGCCCTATTTTTGAGCCACATGGGGTCAACAAGCTCTAGATATTGTTCAGATTCAATGGTTATAGTTTGCGTTCCCTTTAAGCCAACAATCAAGTGGAAATATGGGGGTAGAGAAGCTCTAGACGTTTTAGCTTTCATATTTGTCTTCTTTGAGGTTTGGTCTGGGGGCACATGGTGCAGGAGTTTGTCCATCCACAGCACTTGGAACTTAATTGGCAAACCCGAAAGGAGTGCTGGGCAGCAGATCTCACACCACGAGTTTCACCTTTGATCATGATGTATGATTTGCAGACCTCCCCGAGTTTCTGGACTTTGGGACATTTTGGGAACACCGCTTTGGTGGCAAGCGAAAAGTTTCAACTTTGTGTTGGGCCATCCAGGCAGTCAGAAACCTGTGAGAATCGCGCGCTTGGTTTGCCATTCTCACGCGACACTGCCTATTTGGGAGTGGGGACCCCCAAAGTGGCGGTTTTCAAGTTGGTTTCCCTTTAAAGCAACCTGAAAGGTTGCACTCCAGAAAACACAAACCCGTGTGGGGGTTGTCAAGATCAGTTGCTCTTTTTGGGATGGCGCTTTGAAGCATAACCGTCCTTTTGGAGGTAGTTTCAATGTATGTTGGTGGAGGGGTAGCCCCTTTCTACCCCTTGAGTACCCCGTCACTGACCTGGTTCTTTCCCTTTGCTTATGCTTTACTAAGCCCTTACTAAGCCCTTACTAAGCCCTTATAAACCCTTATAAACCCTTACTAAGACCTTGTAAAGCCCTTATAAACCCCTTGTAAACCCTTACAAAGACCTTGTAAACCCTTACTAAGACCTTGTAAAGCCCTTATAAACCCTTACAAAGCCCCTAATCGCTGAGTTCTTGAGCCCTTACCAAGCCTTCGTAAGCCCCTAGCAAGACGTCACCGACGTACTGACACACTTGGACCTCGGAGGTTGGCCGAGCCCTCGGATGCCTGGGCCATTGTCACAGTGGATCCGGCATGGTTCTAGGGAGGGCAGAGTCAGAGGTGTGTGTGCGTGTGTGCGTGTGTGTCTGTGTGTGTGTCTCTGCGTGTAATTGTATAGTTACACTTGTGTGTATACATATATATGCTTAATATATATGTATATACCTGAACCCTCCAATAGACTGAAATTTCCGTACATGCAGAAGAAAAACATCAATGTACACTTTTGAGGAAATTTGACGGAAATCGCTTTTAGCAGGCTGTGAGCGTTTGTGGGGCACATGGATGCACATGAACACAGTTTGCAATTTACATGGCCCGTCATACTTAATTCCGTTTCAGGCAATTCGTCTCCTATTGCTGTGGGGCAACATGTGACAGCTTCCTCGCAGCTT